AGCGGAGCCATACCGGCCGTGTCGAGGGGTCGAGCGAGCGTAGCTGGCGGAGCCATGCTGGCTGTGTCGAGCGAGCGAGCGAAGCGAGGCGAGGCGAGCGAGTGAGGCGAGCGAACGGGCGGGCGAGCGAGCGTAGCTGGCGGAGCCATGCTGGCTGTGTCGAGCGAGCGAGCGAAGCGAGGCGAGGCGAGCGAGTGAGGCGAGCGAACGGGCGGGCGAGCGAGCGTAGCTGGCGGAGCCATGCTGGCTGTGTCAAGCGAGCGAGCGAAGCGAGGCGAGGCGAGCGAGTGAGGCGAGCGAACGGGCGGGCGAGCGAGCGTAGCTGGCGGAGCCATGCTGGCTGTGTCGAGCGAGCGAGCGAAGCGAGGCGAGGCGAGCGAGGGAGGCGAGCGAGCGTAGCTGGTGGAGCCATGCCGGCCGTGTCGAGCGAGCGAGCGAGCGAAGCGAGGAGAGGCGAGGCGAGCGAGTGAGGCGAGCGAACGGGAGGGCGAGCGAGCGTAGCTGGCGGAGCCATGCTGGCTGTGTCAAGCGAGCGAGCGAAGCGAGGCGAGGCGAGCGAGTGAGGCGAGCGAACGGGCGGGCGAGCGAGCGTAGCTGCCGGAGCCATGCTGGCTGTGTCGAGCGAGCGAGCGAAGCGAGGCGAGGCGAGCGAAGGAGGCGAGCGAGCGTAGCTGGTGGAGCCATGCCGGCCGTGTCGAGCGAGCGAGCGAGCGAAGCGAAGCGAGGCGAGGCGAGCGAGTGAGGCGAGCGAACGGGCGGGCGAGCGAGCGTAGCTGGCGGAGCCATGCTGGCTGTGTCAAGCGAGCGAGCGAAGCGAGGCGAGGCGAGCGAGTGAGGCGAGCGAACGGGCGGGCGAGCGAGCGTCGCTGGTGGAGCCATGCCGGCCGTGTCGAGCGAGCGAGCGAGCGAAGCGAGGAGAGGCGAGGCGAGCGAGCGGGCGGGCGAGCGAGCGTAGCTGGCGGAGCCATGCTGGCTGTGTCGAGCGAGCGAGCGAGCGAAGCGAGGAGAGGCGAGGCGAGCGAGTGAGGCGAGCGAACGGGCGAGCGAGCGAGCGTAGCTGGCGGAGCCATGCCGGCCGTGTCGAGCGAGCGAGCGAAGCGAGGAGAGGCGAGGCGAGCGAGCGTAGCTGGCGGAGCCATGCTGGCTGTGTCGAGCGAGCGAGCGAAGCGAGGTGAGGCGAGCGAAGCGAGGGGAGGCGAGCGAGTGAGGCGAGCGAGCGGGCGGGCGGGCGAGCGTAGCTGGCTGTGTCGAGCGAGCGAAGCGAGGCGAGGCGAGGGGAGCGAATGAGGCGAGCGAGGGGGGGGGGGGCGAGCGAGCGTAGCTGGCTGTGTCGAGCGAGCGAGCGAAGCGAGGCGAGGCGAGCGAGCGGGCGGGCGAGCGAGCGTAGCTGGCGGAGCCATGCTGGCTGTGTCGAGCGAGCGAGCGAAGCGAGGCGAGGCGAGGCGAGCGAGTGAGGCGAGCGAGCGGGCGAGCGAGCGAGCGTAGCTGGCTGTGTCGAGCGAGCGAGCGAAGCGAGGCGAGGCGAGGCGAGCGAGTGAGGCGAGCGAGCGGGCGGGCGGGCGAGCGAGCGTAGCTGGCGGAGCCATGCTGGCTGTGTCGAGCGAGCGAGCGAAGCGAGGCGAGGCGAGGCGAGCGAGTGAGGCGAGCGAGCGGGCGAGCGAGCGAGCGTAGCTGGCTGTGTCGAGCGAGCGAAGCGAGGCGAGGCGAGGCGAGCGAGTGAGGCGAGCGAGCGTAGCTGGCGGAGCCATGCTGGCTGTGTCGAGCGAGCGAGCGAGCGAAGCGAGGCGAGGCGTGCGAGTGAGGCGAGCGAGCGGGCGGGCGAGCGAGCGTAGCTGGCTGTGTCGAGCGAGCGAGCGAAGCGAGGCGAGGCGAGGCGAGCGAGTGAGGCGAGCGAGCGGGCGGGCGAGCGAGCGTAGCTGGCTGTGTCGAGCGAGCGAGCGAGCGATGCGAGGCGAGGCGAGCGAGTGAGGCGAGCGAGCGGGCGGGCGGGTGAGCGAGCGTAGCTGGCGAAACCATGCTGGCTGTGTCGAGCGAGCGAGCGAAGCGAGGCGAGGCGAGGCGAGCGAGTGAGGCGAGCGAGCGGGCGAGCGAGCGAGCGTAGCTGGCTGTGTCGAGCGAGCGAGCGAAGCGAGGCGAGGCGAGGCGAGCGAGTGAGGCGAGCGAGCGTAGCTGGCGGAGCCATGCTGGCTGTGTCGAGCGAGCGAGCGAGCGAAGCGAGGCGAGGCGTGCGAGTGAGGCGAGCGAGCGGGCGGGCGAGCGAGCGTAGCTGGCTGTGTCGAGCGAGCGAGCGAAGCGAGGCGAGGCGAGGCGAGCGAGTGAGGCGAGCGAGCGTAGCTGGCGGAGCCATGCTGGCTGTGTCGAGCGAGCGAGCGAAGCGAGGCGAGGCGAGGCGTGCGAGTGAGGCGAGCGAGCGGGCGGGCGAGCGAGCGTAGCTGGCTGTGTCGAGCGAGCGAGCGAGCGACGCGAGGCGAGCGAGTGAGGCGATCGAGCGGGCGGGCGAGCGAGCGTAGCTGGCTGTGTCGAGCGAGCGAGCGAAGCGAGGCGAGGCGAGGCGAGCGAGTGAGGCGAGCGAGCGGGCGGGCGAGCGAGCGTAGCTGGTTGTGTCGAGCGAGCGAAGCGAGGCGAGACGAGCGAGTGAGGCGAGCGAGCGGGCGGGCGAGCGAGCGTAGCTGGCTGTGTCGAGCGAAGCGAGGCGAGGCGAGGCGAGCGAGTGAGGCGAGCGAGCGGGCGGGCGAGCGAACGTAGCTGGCTGTGTCGAGCGAGCGAAGCGAGGCGAGACGAGCGAGTGAGGCGAGCGAGCGGGCGGGCGAGCGAGCGTAGCTGGCTGTGTCGAGCGAGCGAGCGAGGCGAGGCGAGCGTAGCTGGCGGAGCCACGCTGGCTGTGTCGAGCGAGTGAGCGAACGAAGCCAGGCGAGGCGAGGCGAGCGAGCGAGGCGAGCGAGCGGGCGATCGAGTGAGCGTAGCTGGCGGAGCCATGCTGGCTGTGTCGAGCGAGCGGGCGCAGCGAGGCGAGGCGAGCGAGTGAGGCGAGCGAGTGGGCGGGCGAGCGAGCGTAGCTGGCGGAGCCATGCTGGCTGTGTCGAGCGAGCGAGCGAACGAAACCAGGCAAGGCGAGCGAGCGAGGCGAGCGAGCCGGCGAGCGAGTGAGCGTAGCTGGCGGAGCCATGCCGGCTGTGTCGAGCGAGCGAGTGAAGCGAGGCGAGGCGAGCGAGCGTAGCTGGCGGAGCCATGCCGGCTGTGTCGAGCGAGCGAGTGAAGCGAGGCGAGGCGAGCGAGCGTAGCTGGCGGAGCCATGCCGGCTGTGTCGAGCGAGCGAGTGAAGCGAGGCGAGGCGAGCGAGCGTAGCTGGCGGAGCCATGCCGGCTGTGTCGAGCGAGCGAGTGAAGCGAGGCGAGGCGAGCGAGCGTAGCTGGCGGAGCCATGCCGGCTGTGTCGAGCGAGCGAGTGAAGCGAGGCGAGGCGAGCGAGCGTAGCTGGCGGAGCCATGCCGGCTGTGTCGAGCGAGCGAGTGAAGCGAGGCGAGGCGAGCGAGCGTAGCTGGCGGAGCCATGCCGGCTGTGTCGAGCGAGCGAGTGAAGCGAGGCGAGGCGAGCGAGCGTAGCTGGCGGAGCCATGCCGGCTGTGTCGAGCGAGCGAGTGAAGCGAGGCGAGGCGAGCGAGCGTAGCTGGCGGAGCCATGCCGGCTGTGTCGAGCGAGCGAGTGAAGCGAGGCGAGGCGAGCGAGCGTAGCTGGCGGAGCCATGCCGGCTGTGTCGAGCGAGCGAGTGAAGCGAGGCGAGGCGAGCGAGCGTAGCTGGCGGAGCCATGCCGGCTGTGTCGAGCGAGCGAGTGAAGCGAGGCGAGGCGAGCGAGCGTAGCTGGCGGAGCCATGCCGGCTGTGTCGAGCGAGCGAGTGAAGCGAGGCGAGGCGAGCGAGCGTAGCTGGCGGAGCCATGCCGGCTGTGTCGAGCGAGCGAGTGAAGCGAGGCGAGGCGAGCGAGCGTAGCTGGCGGAGCCATGCCGGCTGTGTCGAGCGAGCGAGTGAAGCGAGGCGAGGCGAGCGAGCGTAGCTGGCGGAGCCATGCCGGCTGTGTCGAGCGAGCGAGTGAAGCGAGGCGAGGCGAGCGAGCGTAGCTGGCGGAGCCATGCCGGCTGTGTCGAGCGAGCGAGTGAAGCGAGGCGAGGCGAGCGAGCGTAGCTGGCGGAGCCATGCCGGCTGTGTCGAGCGAGCGAGTGAAGCGAGGCGAGGCGAGCGAGCGTAGCTGGCGGAGCCATGCCGGCTGTGTCGAGCGAGCGAGCGCAGCGAGGCGAGGCGAGCGAGTGAGGCGAGCGAGCGGGGGAGGAGGGGGGAGGATACGGGGGGGAGGGTATGCCCCTCTTTCTTCTCCATGACTTTCCCTCCTCCCACAGTTTCCCCGCCAAATTTAGCTGAAAAGTTGATGCCAGGCGACCGCAACAGCAATTCAATTCCCCGCTAAATTTGAATTGAATTGCTTTTGAGGTCACGTGAACTTAATATTCCTGCTAAATTTAGCGCGGTTAGGCCGACACCGCGTCGCCCGGAACCTGGCGCCTAAGAGCTACGCTCTAAAAGCACGTAGCTCGCCCTTTAATTGGGTTCTTTCTTAAGCCTTTTCTATCTCGAAATAGCCTTTCAGAAAGGTGACTTGGTTATTCAACAGCAACCTGACTCGCACAAAATAAGACAACCGATTCTAGTGAAGCCGACACTTCATTTGTCAACTGCCATGTTGTATCTTTCTGCAGACTGGTACAATAATGTGAGACAACGGGTTAAATATTACTGTAGGGTAACCTGCACTAACACCTAAATGCACACACAAAAAAAAACTTTGAAAGGACAGGCCTATGGTCAATATGTTGACTCAATAAACACGCTAGTAAGTGATTGTCCCCTTATATATATTAAAAAAAAACGTCTGTTTATTTGCGGATGACCACGAATGACTTCACCCCGCTGCTTTAATCCGATGATACCGTCAATATACGTAAAAAATTAGTTAATAATAAACGATGGTTGTCACCGGTGCAGCTGCAAAACTTACGGTGAATTCGTCCTTCTCGAAAGGTAGGTTCAGCACAAGGTCAATGTCAAACTCGTCTGCCTTTTTGATCCGCAGCCCGTCATAGTAGCTTCCGGAGAATTCGAGCCTGGGAAGCAGCAGATAGAAATATGAGTCCTTACGAATGGTTGTGTGCTCTCAATCAATGGTTCCCACTTGATTTTAGTCCTTTGACAGTTGTCGCCGTACATGAGGTGGTGATTTCATATTTGAAATTCCCCGCCATACCATGTGCAACCCGACAGGTGTACGGTGTTAAAAAGAAATTGGTTTGCTTTGTATGTTTATACAGCCTTGATGGAGATACGCCACGACGGGTAATCGGTCTCTTAGCTGTAGATGAGAAATTTAGCCAGTGGAGTACAACCGCTAACCTTGGATTTTTAACGTGCATCACGCACTAGTGATTACATGAACGTGTGCCGGTACGAAACTCATTCAGATCGAAACGGGCGGGGGCGGTGGGGAATCGAACCCAGGAGGTTCCCAGCGCAAGTTTTCACTTCACACTCCGAGGTGAGACGCGTTATCCCACTTGATCCCCTCGTACGGTGTTTTGCTTTGCTGTGGCTATTTATATTTTCAAAGCAAGATAATTCGCGCACCTGATACGCCCGGAATTGTCGCTTCTCATGTCAACTGTTGGGACGATAGTGGCAATCGGAGCGTTGGCTATTTAGGTTAAGATTTTTTCACACTATTCAAAAATAAGTTCGGATGATGGGAGATTATCAGCCGATGAAGAAGCTTTGTAAAGTACCTTCGGTTCAGAATCGAAGATCCCCGGAGGGTCGCAGACGCTGGCATGTCAAAGTGAAATCGAATGAAAGAAAGGCGACATTTCCTCCTCAATATTCGCATTTGATGCTTCTCAACAGGAACAGCTTGCAAGTGCTGTTTGTGCTCCCATTAAATAAGATATGAAAAAATCCTGCACATTGATTCTTTCTTGGTCCTCCCTTTGAAAAACAAAACCCGAAAAAAAAAAACATCTTGCGGAAAAGAATTGCGAAAGGAATTTAAGAAAAAAAAAAGTTAAAAGGTCCTCAATAACGCACGCAACGTTTTCAAGGGCATGGGAACCAGAGTGTTCCCTATTTAAGGACAAACAGTTTTATGAAGACTAGCGTATTGAGACGAAGGAAAGAAGTTCTATCCTTCTCTTCTAAAAAGAAAGCTTCTGCCTTCTCAACACGAGAAAGCAGACACTTATTTTTGCATCTTTTAGGTTGCAAAGGAGGAGGCTTTGATTATCAAATTGCCTAGTTCCACCGTCTACCTAAAGCCCACTAAAGAAGGGCAATTTCCTCACCTCTTGAAAAGCAGATGGAAGAGAGGATCCTTCCGCTTCATCTGAACTAAGATGTCGTCCAACAGGCTGTTCAGAATGGTAACATTGGTGGCGGTGACTTCGCTGTTCAGCTTGAGCGACGCACAGATCGACTGAAGCTGAGGCTTCAGCTTGGCGTTCAGATCTCTCTCAGCGTGGTCGAATGGCAGAGATAAACTTACTGTTAGCGGTCTACCAGAATTGGGTTCGTTTTCTCTGGTTCCCTGCACAGTGACATAGCAGAGACACTTTCAGCGCACTTCAAATTGAGGCGGCCATCCTGCCCTTGGCGCACCAGACATCCGAAATTGGCCACGGTAAACCTAGAGCCACTGAATGATCCAAGAGTAGAAGAACCTCATATGCTTCGGTTCGGAACGGCGGAGCAGTGCTTGAATATCGACGGCTACGGTGTGGTGGCACTCTGCAATCAGATTGAGTAGGGCAGACAAACCATAAATAGCCTTCTTCTTTTTTGTCCGATCGCCTTCCGAGTTTCGTCGAACTGTATAAATGTACTGTACCTCACCACGTTTTCAGAGTTCTAGTACGCGCACGTTTTTTTATTTCTCGCTTAGTTCCTCTAGAGCGCCGAGGCGCCCAGCCACGGCCGATGTCGTGCGGAACTCGGAGAACATTCACTGGCTCTAGGGGAAGTCACGTGAGGGACGAAAAATCCGCATGTTAGAAAGTGAAGCAAACAGAGTTTTCTGAAGAAGCAAAATGTAAAGGGCGAAGCAGTTGGGTGGTGTGAACCGTGAACACCTGCTCCAAAGCGGCATGCGCTAATGGCTCGCACGCAGCCTATTTCAAAGGAACTTTCAATGTATAGACAAAAATGAGTACTGTTACTTCAAAAACCACGAGCTAATGGCTCGTGGTTTTCGAAGTACTAGCACTCCCGTTGCGTGAAACATCAAGAGAATAGTTGGGTTAACCACAAGCATGGCTTTCCCAGCTATGTTGGTACAAACTTACCCAAGTTCTTTTCCAACCTCTAAAATATTAGTCGAAGGCATTTAGGTTTGCTGTAAACGTGTTATATTTATGTTTATACTGTACCATAGGCGAAGATCTGTCCACACAAATTTTCACCCGAGTTTTCTTCTTTGCAAGTGTCATGCCAAGCGGGCATGACGACGAATTGCCTGCCGTTACGCGATTACATATGTCGATATCGCACGGAGCAGTCGGTTCGTCAGTCAACTTATCAATTTTCTTCGCAGCTTCCGATCGATTTTCATTCGTCACCGGCGGAACGTTCTGGATTTCTATGTTGTGGTTTAGAGAGTATTGCTTGCAGCGGTAGCCGACTTTCATTCGGTTTAGCTTGTTTTTTTGAGGTTGCACATTCTTCGCGAAGATGAGCGTTTTCGGTTCCCAAACTATCATGTTCTTTTTTTCTTTTTTCTTCTCAACCCGTATTTTCTGAAAAAAAACTTGGTTGAAACTTTCGAGACTGACCTTTATCACTCCGAGTTCTTTTCACATTTCTCTCTCGAAAGCACAACGAAAGCCTCTTAGTTCTTGCCATAACTCTGTTTTAATGTTTTCACAGAATTTAGCGAAGTCTGCTGTCATTGTACAACTTACTAAACAAGAGCGCAGAAGAGCAAAACACTAAGTGGCAGCAGCGTCCGCGCTACAAGAGAGAAACGGATATGCGATAAAACGATTTGTTCCCAACCTGTAAACAGGAGAACGGCGTGAGTTTCCTGCAACTTTTCGCTGCCGCCGCTGACAAAGAAAGTGTCGCCTCTCGAAGGCTCCCTTCAGCTGCTTGTGGTGCTGACATTTTTCTGCCAGCCTGTCTTGGTTTAATCCATGGCAGCTTATCCCAAAAAGCTGACGGTTCGTTCGGGACAGGATCGTAGATGAGTCTGTAAACAGGAGTACGGGAGTCTTCTGCAACCTTCCGCTGCCGCCGCTGCCAAAGAAATCTTGTATCTAATCATGCCCAGTAAGCTTTTAGTGTAAAATGTGCAGTCCATTGTGCACACTGCTTCATCAAGTGGTGTCCAACATCTACCTGCCGCTAACCTTCCTAAATATATCATGACAGAGCGCCAAGAAGCCGTCACCAAATTTAGAGGTCAGATGCGAGGCATTGGCTGATCACCGTGCGACAACTTAAGGAAATGTATGCTGTAAAGACGAAAAAAATTCAGTGAAAAGCCAATCACGTGCATGGAGTAGTGCTTATTGCTTCAAAAGTACGAGCTCGAAAAGGAACCTCACAGATCTCGACTCATAGGCAGCGCAATAAAGAATAAAACTGTACTTACGTCGCTCCCGCTCGTCGTCGATCGTTCATATGCCAGTTGAACAACCGTTGATGGCAGGAATCTTGAAGTGCTTGACGATTTTTAGCGTAGCCGCGGTCAAAGAGGGCGCGAAATAGAGGAGCCGCGAAATGGAAAAAGCGCGCCATGGGCTCAGATAGATGGATGGATGCTGAACAAATCCTAATGTCTGTACCGTGGCGGTGCCCTTTATATACATCGCTTGCACTGACGTCACATCCCATACCTTTGACCACCATGTAAGAGGAGGAGAGGGAAGCTGTCCTTGTAAGAATTTTGAAGGACGGGTTAATCTACTACGATCTTCTACAGGAGGTGAATAGCGACGCTTGTGTCGACGTGGGTGTGACTCCCCGTGCTCTTTTTCGCGTTTGAACTGTTGATTCCAGATCCTCCTGGCAATGTCTGACTAGTTGAGCGGCCTCAGTGAAATTACCATGGCTCGTTACACAGCAAAACTTCGCGTGAATAATAGGCGCGTTAAGTCCGTGCTCCAGAGCGCCAGAGTTTGGCGCTCCCTTCACTGAACGGACAGGAGTGGGCCCGTTCACACACTTGCGTTCGCAGCGACCACTACGCTTACGAACGAATGTAACCGGTTGGAACGACGAGTTTCCATACCAGCGAAGTGCCAAACTGCCGTTTCGTTCGTGTTCGTTCGCAACGCAAGGAGTTGAGCAGGGCTGAATGTTTTCCTAACTCATGTTCACAAGCGAACCGGAGCGCCCCTGGCGGACGCCACCGGCGCCGCGCATGCACGATGGGAGTGTTGGCAAGAAGCTCGCTGTCGCCCATAAACAAACCACTAGAATGGAATGTTGTCGGCGTCGGTGTGAGTCCCCGCGCTCATTTTCGCGTTTGAGTGAGTAGACGAGAGCTCGAACGATGAGGCGGCCGTTTGTGTTTATGTGTTTATTTTTCCACCTTGTAAAAATACAAATGGAGGGTCTGTGAAAAAAAAAACGCTGCGCTTAGAAGTTTGACGAGCCCACAGTCCCTGCATTAATGGCAACTAAGCAGCACTACGGTGCAAGTTGGCGGTTTTTCCGCGTTCATTCTGGGACAAAACAAATAAATCTGACGATCACAAGTATCCGTGAATTCAATCCTAAGTGCTTTCCGCCCAAGCAATCGTGGTCCGACGGCGTCTGTTTTTCCTTTTTCGCGGCCCCTGTTCAGGTTTTCTGACGAACCGAGCAGGCAGAAAACGCATAAAAACAGACCTTCAAACCTTTCCCGACCCTTTTGGTAAAGGCTCAGTCGCGGCGTTTTGACAAGAAGGCAAGTTTTGTCCGGTTTCTTCCGAAGTAACACAATAATGCACGTGCCCCATGGCCGCTTCCGCCCACAGCCTCAGACCGGACGTGCGTCCGACGCGCCACCACCGCGCCGTGACGTAACAGAGGCGAGTTCGGGAACGAAGGGAGCGACCACACCGACAGACAATCACAGGTCAGCGCGTTGCATGCCGGTGGTGCCGGTCGCGGTTCCTGCTATCTGCACACATAGCGTCGGTGGTGATCGTCGACGTGGTTGGCGTAGTGGAAGCTCATCGTTCAGCGGGAAAAGCGCAATCCTTAGGCGCGTGAATTCGGCCCTCCTTTACCTTTATCTGACCGGTCCGAGTTTCATATTCCGAGCGCTGCAACTACACGACGCATGGCGTACAGGAGCGCAAAATAACGAAACTAGGGACGAGCCGAACGAGCTCCTTCCGACCGCACGGTTATGGCGAACCCGCCATCTTGTGGATGCGGCTGGCAGAAGCCGAAATGATTTCGAAGCGAAAAATTAATTAGGCCTGTGTGGAGCGGCAGAGTAAGAGACGGTGACGTTATGAAGTTTCTACGAACGTTTTAATATTTCTGAAACGTTTCAGGACTCTCTTCTAGCACATCGGTGAAAAGTTACCTCGGCCGACCTACCTAGTGACCGTGCATGCTCTTCAGATATAAATTTAAGATATCAACATATTTGAACCCGCTTGTCCACGGAGGAAATCCTCAGTCTTGTCGGATATTTCGTAGTTCCGTCTAAAAGCACGAGACGGAAGCTGTCGATGTGGCCGATACCGGCACATCGTCATTCAATACACAGTACGGCAGTTCGTTTTCAGGCGAGAAGCATGAACAAACCTTTTCCGCGACGCTAATCGCAGCATCGCGCAGCCGCATAAAGGAGGCGCAAACGCGAAGGCGCCCGAGGGCGCCGATCCGAAACGGACTCGCAGTCGTAGATAACGCGCTCGTTGCAGATGTCTGAACCAGAGATTGGAAAGTCGAAGCATCAGTTGGCGTTGCGGGAAAGCTTTGTTCATTTATCTCGGCTGAAAACAAATTCATCCATCGAACGGTAGCGTGCCGACCGCACAGCGACAGAAAATTTGTTGAGATGAGAAGACAGTCGGAACGCTGCTGCTTAGCCCAGCGAATCAAGATACTTTGATTGGAAAGCCGAAACATATGAGTGAAGTGTTGCGGGAAAGCTTTGTTTGTGCATACCGCCTAAAAACGAACTGACGTGCTATCGAATGACGGTGTGCCGGTATCGGCGAAGCTTCCGTTTCACGCTGCGAGTCGGAACCACAGAATTTCTGACAAATTTGAGAATTTCCTAAGTCGACAAGCGGGTTCAAGAATGTCGTCTTTAATTTCAGTCGGACAAGCATGCATGGTCAATAAATAGATCGGCGCAGTTAGCTTTCCACATATGTGCCCGAAGCGAGCCTTCAAACTTTCTAGAAATATTAAAACGTTCGAAGCGACTTTATAACGTCGCCGTCTCTTTTGCTTTATGCTCTGCCGCTCCACACACAAGCACATAATTTATCTTCGAAATAATTTCGGCTTCTGCCACCCGTATCCAGGAGAAGCCGTGTTCGTCATACCCGTGCGGTCGGAAGGAGCTCGTGGGGCCCGTCGACAGTTTCGGGCCGTGTTCCAAAGGTCCCGTGAGCTGTCCTTCTGCCGGTTGAAGTTGTGGAGGGAGGCCTGGAAAAGTCTCGGGTACGGCTGTGACTTCGGCGCCGGTGTCGACCTCGAAGTTCACGGAGTGACCGTCGACGGAGACTTGCGTGAACTTGGCTAAGGGGCGCGGCATCACCGCGTGCAGCTGAAGAGAGCCAAGTCGGTCCCGCTGTTCGCAAACGGCTGCGTAGTGAGCTTTCCGCTTGCGGCGGTTGCACGGGGGTGAGCGGTGCGGCCGCAGTAACGGCAGAGGTTGTCGCTGCCGTGCTTGTCGCGGGCCGCGTGCTTGCCAGTGCGTGTGTTCTTGCGCTTTTTTTTCCCCGGAGCGTTGTCGACCCTCGGAGTCGTGCTTGCGTGTCTCGGCGACCACGTGGCCAGGAACAGACTGTGCGAAGAGCGTGTCACGTGCACGCCCGGCGCCCTCGTGGACACGAGCCTGGAGGCGGGCTTCGTCCAGCGATAGCTTGCGACTTCGGCAAAGTTTGTTGACGACTGCCCTTGTAGCGAAGCCCCACGACGAAGTGGTCCCTTGCGAGTCGGTCTTCAACTGCTGTCGACGCGTAACCGCATTTCTTGACGAGCGCCGGGAGCCCCGTGAAAAACGCGTCCACGCTTTCGCCGGGTTCTTGGATGCGACGATGAAACACGACGCTTGCGTATACCTCGTTGGTAGGATGCACGAAGTGGCGTGTGAAGGCTTCTTTGACGGCGTCGAAGGACAGTAGAGCTTCCGAAGACAGGCCGAATGTCTCGAGTACGCGCCGAGCCTCGTGGGAGCCCATGAGGTGGAGAAGAGTCCGTACCTGGACTTCGTCGGCGGCTAGGTGTAGTCCCGAAGCGAAGCCGAAGTCTTCGAAGACTGTAATTCATTGTTCCCAAGTGCTGGGGATCGCAAAGTCGAACGCAGGCGGCGACGGGAGGGACATGGGGGGGGACATTGGGGGGGACTTGTCTCGTGCTGCGTAGCTGGCGGAGCCATGCCGGCCGTGTCGAGCGAGCGTAGCTGGCGGAGCCATGCCGGCCGTGTCGAGCGAGCGTAGCTGGCGGAGCCATGCCGGCCGTGTCAAGCGAGCGTAGCTGGCGGAGCCATGACGGCCGTGTCGAGCGAGCGGGCGAGCCAGCG